CTTCAGACCTTGCAACTATTGCATTGTCCCATTCAATTCCACTATTCTCCCTCATTCCTATTTGGGCTGCTGCTTCCTTTCTATTCAGTCAGCTAGCCATTCCCCACTCCCATCCCCCTTGGGCCTTGGCCCTTCACTCCTCTGGGAAACACCATTGAGTCAAACCCTTGACCCTTGGTGTTGTTCCTCTTTCCAGCTCCCTTTGTCTCCTTTTGGAGTACCCTTGCTCCTTTTGATTCCGGACCCCTTGTATACAATGTACATAGTAACTTGTAACCTCAGTCTGAAATTGACTTGATTCCCCCCTAAGAGACTTCCCCTCTGCTAGATCTGAAATTAGGGACCCCCAGGACAATCAGCAATGGCACAGCGCCCCGCATGAGTTGCTGAGGCCAAGGTCCTTCCATGCTAAGTCTCTGATTCCACTGTATCTAACACCTGGCCACAAAAAACCTCAACTTGCCAAAGGGAAGAGTGGAGAAACTCCTCCCCAAATACATTGGGCCTTATCTCGAAGCATTCAAGGATTCTGCTAACTATACACTCAAGCTCCCCCTGGGGCTTGTCAATAGGGGTATACACCCCAAGTTCCATGTTTCTCATTTGGCCCCACATGAGCCAAACAACTCATTACTATTCCTGGGTTGAGCTGCCCAAGTTTTCTATGACTTTGGTGAAGATCCTGAGCAGGAATATCAGGTCCAGGAAATCCTGGACCATGCATGGGACACTTGCAGTAGCCTGTGGTTCCACATCAAATGGGGCCTGGGGGATCTCACATGGGAACCTCTCACTCATTGTGATGAATTGGCTGCATTAGATGACTACCTATTATTACATGGGGTCGATGCAGTAGAAAAGCTCAACAAGGAATTCCCACACAAGGGCTAATAAAGCACCCCATCCTCCACACTCCTGATTGACTACCCACTTGGGAATAGTCCTTGTCATATCCCAGAATCATGACCCCACGCTCTCCCACCTCATCACACCTTCCTAACAACTTCATCATCCCCTACACCATAACTCCCCACTCCCCAAGTCATCTTCCTTCCTAACTGTCTCAGCTCTGGCCTGGTTGTGGCACACCTTACCTTGGCCACTCCCATCCCGGAAGCCTGGTCCTGAGTCGGAACATTCGGAGACTCCAGATTTGCTCCGACATCCCATGACTTACCTCTAAACCATTCCCCCTCCCATTTCATTTATTGGAGTCACCCAACATCCTTCAGATACATAACTCTGCCTTCGGAGCTACCTGCATCCTCTGGTGATCCCACTCATGTCATCACAAATTAGTCACCTTTCATTTATAATACGACTGTCATCTTCCTTCCATTCAGCCGGCTAACTTCCTCTTACCCATTTCTTGTTCCCATTCATCCTCCGGCCTCTTACTCCGCCCTTCTCAACCCAACACCTCAGTTCCCCGTTAAGGATATCATTCAGGACCTTTCAGTATCATTTGGCACCTTTTGGTGTTTTCCACTATCACTTGGACTTTGACTAAAGTCCTTCCCATCCCTCCATATATAATACTTGTAGATTAGAACCTGTAGTTCCCCAGTTCTAATCTCAACTAAATGTTACCCCAAGTCCCTCTATGAGTGAATCCCGACCCCTTCCTACAAGATACCTCAGACACATGAAATATAAGGACTAACTGAGACATAATGGAGGCACAGTGCTCCCTCCAAGTTGCTGAGGCCACGTCCTTCTTAGAGCCTCTTGTACCACCCAGCAGACCCGGGCTTCCTGGAGAAGCTTCGGTTCACTACTGGAGCTCTCAGATCCCTCTAGTTGAGCCCCGCCTGCATTTGGACTCACACACTTTCCCCTACGTTCGGGGTTTTTGACAGTCCTCCATCCTAATGTAGGACAATTATGGCACTAGTTGCCATATTGGGGTTTTGCCTCCATGGTTTGAATAATATTCCCATGGATAAAACTTCTTCCTTCTTCCTTTCCTCCAAGTGTGCAACAAGGAGAGAAATGCCACCCAAGGATGACCATGGGCAAAGCCCACAATCGAACACCACACCTATGGATACCAAAACCACTGGACCTGCTGTGGACAACACACAACAAGTCCCAATGCCAGGTGCTGATGCCCCCAGTGTCGACAACATTCCCATCCACAACCCAATACCAACAGTATCGGGGCATCCTTCCCCCTTAATTGTCAGAGACCAGGTTTGGGATGAACAGAGATGTCCCTGTGATTGGAGGGCTATGGCCTCAGCAACTTCTGCCAGGAGTGCTGTGCCCAGTAACATGTTGGTGCCCTAATTTATGGACTACAGGGTTTATGGATTGGTGGGTTATAACCCAGAAGTGGAATGGAGGGATCGGTCCAAAGGTAGACTTGCAGGGCAGGCAACTAAATTACCCAGCAGAGGTGGGGGTGTGCTTGCAGATGTCAGAGCTGTCTGGAGACCTTCAGAGCTCCATACTTAGGGAGGCATAGGTAATATATTGAAATGAGTGGGTGGTAATCATTGGAGGGGATTGCAGAATCTGGAGGCTCCAAGGTTGGAGATGAAGGAGTGGAGGCAATCCAGGATGGCCAGAGGTGATGGAAGGTGGTGACTGTGGATGGATATGACAGTATCCCCTTCTTAGGCCTGAACCCATGAAGGCCCAGAATTAGTAAGGTGAGGGGAGCTGTAGTTACAGAAAAAAAAATGGAAATGAGGAGTGGAAGGAAAGGAGAAATGGGAGAGGGGTCAGGATTCCTAAGGAGCATCAGGTCCAGGCTTGTCTGGATACCAAGAGTGGAATGCCTCGACAAGGTTGGAGGTGTGATCGAGTTTGCTGGCAAGGAGCCATTGCATCTCCTCATCGGTCCTTTCATAACCTAACCACTTGACCAAGTAGAGCAGCTTGTTGTGTCTATGTCAGTCAATCTTCAAGTCAAGAATCTCCTCAATCTCAAACTCCATTTCTGTCAGGGACTCGTCCGGGGTCAAGGGAGCCCAGGTGTAGCATCCGGGGCTGAGAGCCCGGCAGGGGGCAGATTGGGCATGCATACTGACAGGCCTGATGTGGGATGATGGTCCCTGGCCACTTAGACTGAAGTGGAAAGATGAGGAGAAGGCTACTTCTTTGGTTCCCACTTCAGGTATGTATACATGCGGCTTAGGTCACCTGACAGGTGCCATGTCACCCTTGCACACAGCCATAATCACCCAGGTGTCTCTGTGGGGATCCCGAGGGCATCTGGTGCGAGCATGTGTGCTGGGCACAGCAGGGGGTCGCCTGAGGTGTCTGGGCCAGGGTGTGTCGTGGGCGTGCTGTAGTGGGTCAATGGTACATTGATACAAGGAAAGGTTGTCTGTGTAAAATAAAGAGAAGATAAAGAAGAAGTAAAATGGAGAGAAGATAAACAAAGAGGGGGAAAGGAAAGGGGGAGGAGGTTGAGGAGGGGTGGACAGCAGGGTACTGGGTCAGGTGGAGCTGGGTGGAGCTGGGTCAGGCTGTTGTGCCCTGATACAGACCAGTTCCTCCATGAATCCCTCAGGGTCACTGGGGGATGAGCTATTCGGGTCTCTAGAATAGGACCTGAGGGTGGATTCAAGCTCACCACCCATGGGTGGACAAAGCTTGTGATGCATGGAACTTGGGAGCTAGGCTCCCTTTCCCTCTTTATGAGGGAAATAACAATAGGATGAGAAGCCTCTCCAAGAGGACCTTGGAGAGTATGGATGGTCAGCTGCAGGGTCAAGACTTCTTGTCTTGATGCTGTTGTGGGGACAACTCTGTGCACTGCAAAAAGTCGGATTCTGCAGAAGTTGCCCACCAACACACACCACATGCCCACTGACACTTCCAATGCTCATTATCTCACTATACAACACACCATACACCCATTCCTTATTTTTCCATATTTTCCCCATCATTCCCGACAGCCCCAAGCCAAATTCCCATGCCCAACCACACAGCCAATTTCACCCCTTCTCCAGACCTCCATTGTCCACACATTAAACCCAGCCGTTTTTCTACCCATTGGTGATGCTCTACCTTCCTCTTTCACCCATGGAGCATTTTCCAGAATGGGAACCCCATACTTGGATGGTTCAGCATGGTGTAGAGCCTCACATGGTCTTGACAGCACCTGTCAATGGCCGTATCTCAGGAACCACTGCACCAATTGGAACAAATGAGGGTTCGTTGGAAAGCTGGAGACGAGGAGGTTGCTGACAGGAGGATAGGCGGGCGCTGTGGCGGAGTTAATCTTTATAATTCCCATTTCGGATCCATTGTCATATATTCCCCATTCATTCATATTTCTTTTATTGTTTCTCTGTTCCTAATTGGACATCCCTTATCCTTATTTACGGTTGCCTATCAGCCTGTTTACATTTCCAATCCATATAAAATATAAAATAACAAGTGAGTACTGAATCAACCCATGAAGAAGTGAAAAGTAGTTACATCCAAGTGGCAAAGACACCATCCACGACCCTAACGTTCCCCCTGAGCTTGTTGCTAACGTCTAAGACCCTTCCACTTGTAACTCTCAGCCTTGACATCCAAGAGAGATGCAGGTGAGTGTTTAGTTGAAGTTCTAACCCAGTAGCGCCCCAGGACCAAAACCCGAACCTCCCATCACATACGCAATCACTACCACCCTCCCCCTTCTCTCTGTCTTGAGTCTAGGCGATAGACCCATTACATTTGTTGGGCATCCGCCTGGCTAGGCCAATCTTGGCCTAGTCTCCTAAAGGCCTCGCCTTGTGAATCCTGCACAGTAAATCAACCGTAGGAACCTAGCCTATGCCTGATCTCCTGGGCATGATTGTCCAGACCTTCAGGTCTGTGCATGTAGACAGCATCACCGTCCATCTGGGTCCCATATTCCACAGTTGTCTCACTAGGGGTGCAAGGAGCAAAGATAGTTCTTTGCTTTTTCTTGACCTCACCCTGTTTATTAATTACCAGGGCAGGCCCATGTCAGGGTTCACATGTTGATTTGCGATAAAGAAGTCCCAAAAACCTAGTCATTGATACAGCTGAGGTTCTACCCTTCAGCAAACATAGAGTTTATATACATCCATGATGACATAAGCAGACACAAACAAGAGAGAGATAACTGGAAGCTAAGTCAGCTAATGGTAGACAACGAAACAAGATAGGAACAAAGGGATGTCCGGATATGGGGGCAGCAGTGACATGTGGGAATGTGATGACATACAATATGATAGGGGATATGTGGCTACATACTATATCGAATAGGGGTATCAGGGGACCACTTACATATTGTCCCCTGACAGCCCAGAACTGTGATGTGGGCTCTGGGTCAATAGTTGGTCACGATCAGTCTCCCATTTGTCTGTGGAACTTGCCACAATGATGGGCGCTTCAGGTGCAGGAGGAGACTGTGGAAATGGCTGTGTCCTTCTGAGGACAACAGGGCCCTTAGGGCCCCAATCAACACCCTTTCCCTTCAGATAAGAAGGGATTCTCTTCGGTGATGAAGTCAAAGAACTCCCAGGCTCAGTGTCAGGGCACAGCCCTCAACCCCACACACCCTCAGATGCCCCTTCCTCCCTCCTAACCACCCTTCCCCCATTTTCCCCCATTTTTCCTCCACTGTTCTGCAATGGTACAGGTACATGAACCCATGGGAATGTTCTGGGCAAGCAGCTCACCCAGAATCTTCCCATGGTACCTAATATGGAAACTTGGGAAAGACCTGACAACTGCACAGTTCTCAGGCTCCTTTTGTAGTGGCCTCACAGGGGGTTGAGAAGGTTACCCTTCTTCTCAACTTATTCCCTGTGAAGCCCAGGGCAAGTCCCCTCAGCAACTTTGAGGAACTAGTGGCTGGAGAAGACTCTCCAGCACCACTCCTGGACCTCCTCACCATGTCCCCCTTGGACAAGGGATGGACCCTGGCACTCAGGTTCATCAGTGTGAGGGATGAATGTTGTCATCCTCACACTTGGTTGCCCTGGCACTGGGAGGTAAGTCATCATCTTGATGTAGTCCTCATCAATAGAGACTTTGTCCTCCAGCGAATTTTGTTGCTGGGTGGGTTCTCAGTCCTGTACCCTGACTGGTACAGGTGGAGGTGCACTAGTAGCCTCAAACTGAGGTGTGATTAGAGGGGTTTGGCCTTCAGCCAATCCAGTGCTTGGGTGATAAACCCAAGCTCACAAGTCCTCTATGGCCTCATCATGGTGGACCACTCAGTCCCCCAGACAATCCAGCCATTGATCGATGCTTCTCAGCATCATCATCAACTCACTATGCCTCTGGTTGCCATCAATGTCGATGACTTTAGCAAACTGATCAGTGTCATATCCATACATACCCGATCCCAAACCGACTCCCAGACCCTCATCTTCATCACCTCCAGAGTCCTACCCTATCTCTGTCCACTCTGACATCTACCTTTGGACCAAACATCACTCCTCACACCACACTCCTCCTCTCACTCCCCATCCATCCCTCTCCTACCCTACCTCCATCCTCTCTGATATTCACCTTCAGACCTGACCTCATTCCTCCTCTCACCTCCCCTTCTCGTTCCTCCCCTCACTCCTCTCCTTCCATCACTCTTCCGTCAAACCTCCACCAAGTTACGACCTTCCACCGCAGTCCCGTACCTTGTACTCGGACACTTCCCATACCTTCGCTCCAAGACTCCATCATGTTCCCAACCTCAGACTTTGACTCCACCTCGGCTTAAGTCCATTGCATTGGTAACCTTTGGTAACCTCATTCTATGTAAACACCATTGCCAACATTCCTTGGACTTCCAACCCTGCCTCCACAACCTCTGTAAGCTCTGCAACCTCTGAGCTCCACGGATCATACTCAGCACTTTTGCCGCTTGTAATGTATCTCTCGCACTTTCCCCTCATCCCTATTTGGACTACTGCTTCCTCCCATTTTAGCCAGTTAGTCATCATCCCCACTTCACCTCATCCTCCTGCCCCTCTGGGCTCTGCCCTCCCTATCTCCTTTCGGATGTACCACAGAGTCAACCCATGACCTTCAGTACTGCTCTGCTTCTGTCACCCCTTCATCTCTGTTTGGACACCTTTGTTCCGATTCGGATCCTCTTTGATTTCCTCATGCCATTGTCTCTCTACTATATACAGGCGCTTGTACATACTCGTTTTGGACCTTCAGTCTAAAATCAACCAGAAATGCCCCCTAGAGACTTCCTGCTCACTGCTTCTGAAACTAAGGACCAAATGGACAAACAGCAATGGCACAGTCCACCCTCACCCAGTTCTAACAATCAGGGCCATCACCAGGCCCTGGCACTCCACCCAATTTGAGAGGATCAGGGGAACCAGACATGTTGACAAATGGATCATGTTCTGCTGACACATCAGGTGGGTCCTCCTCAGGTGGAGGCATGATCACAGCAGATGCAATTGTGACCTGGCACATCCAGGTCTCCTTGGGGACCAGGAGATGCATCAGGGTCGTCTGTCTCTCCTGGATCAGGAGGGATATCAGGCATGTTGATGCTGGGAATCCCAGTGTTGTCTGTATTCTGCACTTTGTTATGTGCAGTCACCCTCATCCTCTTTGCAGAGGGCAAACCTGATGCTTTCTTTACCATTATGGCAATGAAGGAAGTTGGGGCTTTGATTAGATCAGCATGCTTCACAACGTCAATCTAGGAAGGAGTGGTTTTATTTTAAATTTGAAAGCTCACCAAGCATAAAAAAGTGTAAGCAGGTTATAAGTTGTTGAGTTCACAAGTTCACTTGCAAAAGTCAATGGTTGCCTCACTTCCTCAGTCCATTAGATGTACACTGTATTATCAACAGGGGGGGTAAAAGGCTAAGGAAGCCTTTACCCCCTCATATGTAGGTTATATACAATGTGGTAAATACATGTGATGAATGCAGCTTGGGACCACATGGTAAAAATGAAGGGTTCAGGAAGAAGTGTCATGTCAGGTACAAACCCAATGCAATAAATAAAGAATGGCCACAAGTATGTGGCCTATCTCCCTTACAAGGAGACTGACAGGGCAAGATAGGTGGTGGGGAAGTGGGAGAGTGGTGACAGACAGGCACCTTTGTCAGGGCCATGACAGAACAGGAAGTCAACTTCTAGAGGCTTCAAACTCCAAATAAAATTCATAAACACATGCTATCAATGCAAACAACTTAGTAAATCAACAAACAATATCTACAGTGGAAGACTATGCAAGAAAGTGAGTGGGAACCAGGGAAAATGGACAAAAAATCACAAAAACACAAAGCTATGATGGACCATGATGGGAAAAATAAGGAAAAATATACCAATAAAGTGGAGAACTCTAAGACATTCTTTTGTTCAATTTTTAACCTTTACATGAAACTCTTTTGTTCTAAGTTTGAACCATTCCATTCATTTATCATTTCAAATCACATTTCTACTAAATAGCACTGGATAAAAATAGGATAAATCAGCTGAAAGTTACAGTGCAGTTGTACATGTAGTAACATGCAGTCTGAATTCAGAATGACCAAGTCATAGCAAACTTAATTGTAAACAAGAAGAATTTGAATTAAAAACTGCAAAAATTGCAGTGCTGTCAGGGCATCAGCCCTGCACCCCTGAGTCACATGATCCAGCAGCACCTTCTGGTACCACTCTACACCACTGTGAATAATACACCATTGTATCACTTATGGCCAGGTGTGCTGAGCGACCCCAACTGACCTCACAAAGCTGAAGCAGCTGGAAAGTGATTTCTATTCATATGTTCTCACCCATTGGGGTCAAAGAGATGCAGTCATGAGAGAGAAGCAAGAGCTTTGGAAGCAAAAGCAGAAAGTGGAGACTTCAACTCATGACCATGCTTGCCAAGCATTTGGCTGGACTGTTAGATAGCTGCTGGTTTGGACAATTCCAGAACAGAATCAGAGACTCATCAAGGAGGGACTGAAGAAATTGCATGTTGCCTGCCCGGACTTACTCCGTGATATCCAAATGAGGTAAACCAGGTGACTGGACAAATGACATAAAATGGACAAGCCTGGTATCGAACCCAGGACCTCTAGCGTGCATCCATACACTACTCGCCCATTATGCCAGGGGGGGGTACCCCTTCCCTGATGGTTTGGGAGATCACTTGATCCCTTCCTCCAACAGGGACCTTGGCCTCAGTGACTCAGGTGGAGCACTGCCATTTCTGTTTGTCCTGTTGGTCCTTAATTTCAGACATAGCTAGAGTGAAGTCTCAAGGGGGGGTATCAAGTTGATTTTAGACTGAGGTACAACAAGTATGTACATAGTCTATACATAAAGGGAGATAGGAGGACAAAGAACAAAGGGGGTCTGGAACAGAACAAAGGTGTCCAAATGGAGACAAGGGAGTTTGGATCAGGAACTGCACCAAGGGTCAAGGGTTAGACTCTATGGTGTGTCTGGAAGGAGGTAGGGGGGGTGAGGGCCAGGAGGACATGAGGAAATGGGGTGGATGACTAACTGGCTAAATGGAAAGAAGCAGTAGTCCAAATAAGGGTGAGGGAGAAGTGTGAAGTATACAGTACAAATGGCAAAAGAGCTAAGGTAGGTCCATGAAGCTCAGAGGTAGTGGAGCTTATGGAGGTGGGGTTGAAAGTCTGAGGAATATTGGCAATGGTTTTTACATGAAATGATGTCACCAATGCAATGGACTTAAGCCAGGGTGTTATGGAAATGGGATTTTCCCATTTTTAGCCTCTTATGGGCTCTATGCAGTACAATATCACGTGATATGTATATAATAATGACTGAACCATCAATTACTACCCAAAAACACTCCTGTCCATGTTATTGTAAACACCATTGTTATGACTTCTGTTACATTAACTGTAACACTCTTTCGATGTCACGGCCCTCTCCTGCATCTGAATGGTATAGAAATGGGCCAATTAGGCCCCATTTTTATAACACAGGGTGGTGTCAAAGTCCGAGGTTGGGGACCAAAATGGAATCTCAGAGTGGAGGTACAATCAGTGTCCAAGGTCAGGGTCCAGAACCATCAGGGGATGACCCCTGGGTCCCCATGACCCCTCTCTCTATGGCCCACAGCCCAACCTGTAACAGCCTAGTCTCAAGGCACAGAGCTACTGTTAGATTGGGCAGATTTGGACAACTCCGGAATGGAATCAGAGACTTAGCGTGGAAGGACCTTGGCCTCAGCAACTCATGCGGAGCGCTGTGCCATTGCTGGTTGTCCTAGGGGTCCCTAATTTCAGATCTAGCAGAGGGGAAGTCTCTTGGGGGGAAATCAAGTCGATTTCAGACTGAGGTTACAAGTTACTATGTACATTGTATATAAGGAGGGGTCTGGAATCAAAAGGAGCAAGGGTACTCCAAAAGGAGATAAAGGGAGCTGGAAAGAGGAACAACACCGAGGGTCAAGGGTTTGACTCAATGGTGTTTCCCAAAGGAGGAGTGAAGGGCCAAGGCCCAAGGAGGAAGGAAGGAGGATGGGTGTGAGGTCTGTGGGGCTCGCTCAGGTCACCAGGCCGTAAGTGTCACAAAGGTGTGGGTATTACGGGGTGATAAGCGATAGGTTCCAACCCGTTGCCTGTCATGTGACACTAATCTACAATGGGACTACATGTAATGGGGGCCCAGGGCTTGTGCCCTGACACTCTCCCCCCTTGCATTGCAGTTGCAATGCATACAAGATAAAAAGAAAAGGAAATTTTAAGCTTAAAAGGAATAATGAATAAGGAATGTGTTTGCCACTTTAAAGTGGGCAACATTGTACATCAAGTTATAAAAAAAAAAAAAAAAAGGAAAAGGAGTGAACGTCTTTAAAGTGGGCAGTGTTATACATAGGGATAAGTATATATGAAGTCCTTAAAATATCGGGTTTCCCAATGGGAAATTCTCCAAAGATGTTTTGCATCTTCAGCCTGTGTTTTCTCCTCAAATTGATAATTTAGGTCTGTAAAATATTGTTTACAGTGCTTTGCATACTGTTTTGTGTGTGAGTTCTTGCATTTTCGCAAGAGTGGAGTGGTTTCCACTTTACCAGAGAAATTTGTGCTCTGGATTTTTCGTTTGTTCATCTGGCTGTTTAGCTGGATGGTTTTCCGTGGTTAGAGCCACCTTGCCAAATGCAGAGCTTGACAGAGCTCCTGATTTGGGAGCAAAAGATTGTTCGACTTCATGGCCAGCATGAGTCCCCAGAACTTTGTTCCGGTGCTGTTTGGAGGCTGTTGCCTCTTGCCACAGCTCCCATGCTGTGTTCCCCAGTTTGGACTGAGATCTATCTTATCTCAGTTGAACAGTTCCCTGTTGCATTGGATGCCTCCCACCAAGGTTACTTGCCCATAGGGTGTCAAAGTACTTGACAGCCCACCACCTCTAGCAGTGGTCCCAGCCTGGGGTTTGCTATTGGCTGCCTACTGCCTTCCTTCCTCCCCTCAACCTGGGTCTGTGCTCTTGTTGGAGCACCACTCTGCAGTCCGGACAGGGTCACCTACCCACAGGGTAGCGAGAATTGTGGTATCCCATCCCAGTCATGTTAGTCCCTGTCTGGGTTACACTTTCTGAGACCCAATATCACATCTCCTCCCCCTAACCTGGGAGGCCCGGACTTGGCAGTGGGATTCTGCCCATGCACAAGTGAGCTCAGGCTCACATTCAAGTTCCTCGATTTCTGGAAATTGGTTTCTCTTCATTTTGGAGAGAGGTAATCCTTCGCACTTCTATGCGAATCTTGTACTCCTGCCTCTGGGTGGCACGGTTCTCATAGGCATTTCTTGGCACCTCTGAGTAATCAGGTCGTCTCTATTTGGATGGCCTGAGTGAGGAGCTTGTCTCGCTCTCTCGTTTCCCTTTCATGAGGGATTCTGTCTCATCCAACTCCTTTCGGAGTTGGCTTGTGTTGTCCACTATCACCGGGGGTGATAGCTTGCTCTCAGCTTGGGTTGGGCCAAGAATTTGTTGGCTTTGGCCATCTCGAAAAGCATGTGGACACTTCCCTGTAGGGTGTCATGGTACTTGGCAGCCCACTGCCTCTGGTAGTGGTCCCCTTTTGGGGGTCTGTCATTGGCTGCCTACCGTCTTCCCATCTCCCCTCGACATGGGTTTGCCCTCCTGAGGGCAGGCCCTTATGCAACCCGGACAGGGTCACCTGCCCACAGGGTGGTGGGATAGTCGGTGCCCCGCCCCTTGGTGCGCTAGTCCCCATATGGGGTCGTGCCTCATGAGGCCCGGAACCGTATCCCCTCCCCCTGACCTGGGAGGCCCCCATCATAATGGGTTTGGCAGCGAGGTCTGCCAGTGTGCGTGCCTCTTCAAGCTCGCATTTTAACAACTCGATCTCCCTCTTCTGGAGGTCAACTGCTCTCTCTGTGTCTTTCAGAGAGGCAAAGATGCCAAAGCATCTCTGCATGCCCTATTGTATTCATGCCTCCAATGGGTGTAATTATCGCAGGCATCATCTGAGACCCTTGAGTTGTCAGACCGTGCCTGTTTGGACAGCCTGGACAAGGAGCCGCTGTCGCTCCCTCATCTCCCTCCTATGAGGGACTTTATCTCTTTCAACTCCTGACAAAGTTGACCTGTTTGGGCAGCTACCGCTGATGCAATAGCTGATTCCCAGCCTATATTTGGCTGGGTTGTCGGATCTGGGCCAAATTGGCTGATCCAGGGAGTGATTTGGCCAGGGAAGTTCCCTGGGGAGTATGCCTGGGGCTGCAGCAGCAATTGCTGCCCCTGGAATGGCACTTGTTGTGCCATCGGTGCAGTTTGTACTGCATATGGTTTTACATGTGAGCCTGGGGTTCATGTGGCCTAGGCAAGTTGCTCGCCTAGCCCATGTGATGTCTAGCCCATGGTGTGGCTGTCCGGGCAAGTTGCTTGCCCAGAATCTTCCCACGCTCTTGGCTGTGGGTGATCGCCCTTCAGCTTCACTTTTTCCACCTCCGTTTTTGGGGGTGTAGTGATGCCGAAAGTTCCATATCTTCTTAGATCAGGAGATTTTCTGGTTCCCTCACATTTTGTAATGTGAGGTACTTGTCCAGGTGGACGAGGTCATTACGATTTCCTAGGGGTTCCCATGTGGTGTCCTCTAGCTCCCATTTGGCCTTACACCAGAGTTCATCATGAACCCATGCGTGGTTTAAGATTTCGCGAACTACTGCTTCACAATTGGGGTCTTCCCCGTAGTCATAAAATATGTTTACTTCCCTATTTGGGAAGATTTCTTGGCCATTTGGCTCATGGGGTGTGAGCCGAGATACGTGGAATCTTGGGTGGACTCCACATTGTTCAAGTTGTGGTGGCAACTTGAGGACGTAGTTTGATGTCTCTGGAAATGTTTCCAGAATTTCATAAGGCCTTATATACAGGGGCTTTAGTTTGCCTGCCCTCCCTTTGGGTAGGTTCAACTTATCCATGGATAAGTATGCAAGCTCGCCTTTTCTCAAAGGCAGGTCCAGGTGTCTTTTCTTATTCGCCTGGATTGTTTGAGCAGCACAATTGTGTATTATCACGTCGTGTGCTGCCATTAGGTTTTCCTTCACCTTTTGGGCAAAATCATTCACTCCTGGGTAGTCCGAGGGTGGTGCTGTTAGGCACATCTTTGGCATGTGGCCATAGATTAATTCGAACGGGGAAATGTCAGGGCACACACCCTGACTAGCCCGGACCCGGACCCGCATCCGGACCCGCATCCACCTGCTGCACTTCCTGCATGCGCGCACGCTCCGTGCGCCGCATGCGCCGGGCCCGGTCCCTATCCCTTCATGTGACTTCTGGGTATCCCCGGAAGTTTGCTTGATATTGTGGCCACTGTGGGAAGATGAGAAGTTAGCTTCCTTCTCATCTCCTTACCCACAGTAGAGTTGTGCCCTGGACAGGGCTGGTTACACTATAGGCTGTGGACCATAGGGGAGGGTCATGGGGACCCGGGAGTCATCCCCTGACAGGCAAATCCTGTCGATGTGTTTGAGCTCACATTGATTGTGAATTCTGCCATCAACAGCTTTGCTGCCCAGTTGCGTTGATCTGGTCTGACCATCATGTGTAGTATCTGTACTACTTTCTGTCATGAATTTTGAATCTCGATCTGATGCGATCGAGTGTGGTAGTCTGTGAAGTCATGCAACTTCACGAAGAAACATGAATGCTAGTTCTAATGCATTCATGGTTGTTTTAATGGGATCAGGTGGACATTGTTGTGTCTGCCTGTGGACAATTCCTTGGATGGAATCATATCCCAAGTCTGTTGGGTACTCCCCCCTTGTCAGAGACCAGATTCGAGACGAGGGAGTGTCTCCATAGCGGAGGGCTTCGGCCTCAGCAACTTCTGCCAAGAGCGCTGTGCCTAGTGACACGTCTGTGCCCTAACTTACTGACTGGCAATCAGAACCTAAGGGGGGTAACTCTAGTTGATTTTATTACTGGAGTGTAACCTATGTACAAGTGGGATATATATATGGTTACGGCGAAGACGGGTCCACGATTGGCGGAGCCAAACAGAGCGGAGCTAACGGGGTTAAACATTAGCCAACTGAATATTACCAACGAGTCGGGTCGTGGGGTTAGTGGAAAGGCAGGCAATAACCCAGAAATGGAAAGGAGGGATAGGCCCGAAGGTGGGCTCTGCAGGGCAGGCGATTGTATTGCCCAGTGGAGGTGGGGGTGTGCTAGCGGACGTCGGAGCTGTCTGGAAGTCTTTGGGGCTCCATACTTAGGGAGGTGTAGGTAATAAATTGAAATGAGGGGGTGGTGACCATTGAGGGGTACCGAGAGGATTGTGGAATATGGGAGCTCCGAGGTTAGTGAAGGAGGAGCGGAGTTAGACCAGAGGGAATGGAGGGACTGGAAGTCGATGGCCGGGGATGGATATGACACCCCTAGAGTTTCCTCTAGGTTGTTGCTCCCCCCTAGAGCTTCCTCTAGGTTATTTGGTCTCGAGAGTATCTCGGGTTCATAGGCATGATGCCTATGATGACTCCTTACAACTGGTCTTCTAATGCCAGTTTGATCTGTTTGCATTTGTGGTCAGCCAGAGGTCTCAGGCTGGCACCGGAAGCAAACTGAATTCCCCTATCAAGGAATTGTATTAGGGATGTTTTCTCCCCTATTGTTATCCCTCGGATGTTTATCCGAGTTTTTCCCTGCCATTGATAAGTGGGGTTAAACCTGAGACCACACAGTTGCCCTTTCAATTTGACACCATGTTGAATGTCAGGTGACTTAAGCTGAGTTGCTTGGCTTTACCCAAAGTTACTTGGTTGGGGGCATGACAGGAATTTCTGTCACGCACTGTGACACATCTAAGTGTCACGCTCTGCAACACAATTCAATGTCACACACTTGCAACATGAAGAAGATGGAATAGAGAACCAAAGTCTGAGAAACCAATGCTGTAGGGGCATTAGGACTTTGGAAATTAGTACAAAAGTTGTATTGCTCAAAACAGTGCAAATTTATAATTAAAATGGATTTAAAATGAGTATCGCATAGGTTGGGCCGAGTTGTTCAGCTTTATCCCTGTTTGCGAGTTCAAGGAGTTTGATTCCTCGAGCAATTGCCTTCCAGATGGTATTTATCTGGGAGTTCCAGTTCCTCTGAGCTAGGACTGGGTTGTTTCTTTCTTTGGTATTTCTACCAAAGCATCAGTGACTTTCTCATTCACCGTGTTTATGGCCTTCCCAAGGAAAGAGCCAGAGAAGAAGGAAAAAAAAAAAAAACAAGGCAAAAAAAAAAAAAAAAAAAAAGAGGGCCTGGAGCACTTCCAGACACAATGGAGTCTCCTCAGTCTGAGGAGTTAAACTATAGCATATTACTATAGGTCGATGGTCAGGTAGACCTTCAAAAACCTCTCGGTATTAGAGGAAGGCTGCCAATACTTGGCGGCAAGATTGCACGGACTGGGTTGTCTGCACAAGTGGGAGTTATGATCTCTACTTGATCTTATCTGCCAATTCTTGGTCCTCCTTCAGGTACGAGGAGGGCTGATTGGCCTTGTCAGCCAATTGTGCATGATGCAGCCCAGTATTTCTACTGGGGAGAGGGCGGATTGTGGCCACTAGCCAGCCGAGTATAAACTCCACCCAGAGCTCGTCTTCTTCTGGAGACTCTGGGGTGGTTTCTTCCAAAGGGTCCTCCTTCAGTGGGTCTCCCTCTGAGGTTTTTTTCTTGGGGGTGTTGTCTTCTGAGTGACTTTCCTCAGGGGAATCCCTCTTTGGTGTCGTCACCAAAGAGTTGGTAGTTCTTTTTTTGGTCTGGCTTATTGCCAGTTTTAGTGTATTTTTTTCGTCATTGTTTTCAATGATGTCAGATCTTGGGGCCATTATTGTGGTCCCAACACTGATGTCCTCGCCCTTTCTTCTGGGTGAGTAGTGAGGTCCCTTGTTTGGGTCCTCTGGTTCAAAGTCATTGGAGGTGTCCTCCACTTCGAAATCACCAGAGATATTCTCCGGTTCTTCTTCGCTCCAACTTCACCTTCTGTTTTGTAGTCGACTTCCCTGGCAATCCTGTGCCTTGGGTTTCTGTCTCCTACTAACTGGTGCTCAGGGCAGCTCTTTGTCCGCTCTGGTATTCCGCAATTATTGTGTACTTGTACCAGCCTTTGGTCGGTGTTCCCTGACTGCTTCAGGGAGGATTCGCCTTTCCATTTGGGTTTAGGGTCTTGCACATTGGCTCTTGCCTCTGCGTGTTTCTCCTTTCCCGCCTGGTTGGGCTTTTCACAATTTGTGGTCATGGTGGTTTCAGGTCTGGCATAGCATTCTGGCCTGTAGGCTGGAGCTATCCTCAGCCTGTTTTTCATCTCATCCATGCGAGATGTTGTTCTGAACATCTCCTCAAAAGAGGAGAATCCCATTTTGATTGTTTCCTCCTTGCATTCAGGGAGGATGTTTTCCAGATACCTAGCATTAAGCGATGGTTCTGGGTAGGACTGTCCGGGTCCTTTTCCTGCATTGTACTTTACATTGCAGTATTTTTCCATCACCTTCAATGTGGCGGGCTCCTTGATATATGTCCTCATTAGAGTATCGAGAACTTCAAGAAATTTCCCCCCTTTATCTCTAAGGAGGGCTTCTTCATGGAGTTTTAGTCCATGTGAGAGTGCAGGCTCTGCCAATCCACCAATGAGACAATCCAGATGGATTTCATCGTAGTGTGCCCCTCTATATCCTCATGATGTGAGGAATCCTAGCAGTGTGGTGTACCACTGCCAGAAAATTTCTGTATTGTTTTCGCCTGACCACTTCGTGTCAGGGAGTCAAGTAGGACCGTTATTTAACCAGTCCCACTTCACCCTGTCTATGTGTGGGGTGAAAGTTAGAAGTTCAGCCATCTGTGTGGCCTTGTGGTACCATCTTTCGAGGTGCCCGTTATCCTCCAGCAATGTTTTGCTGGAAGTTTTCCTTGTGAAGTTTTCATGAGGGTTTGTTTGGTTCTCTCCAGCATTACTGGAGGGGTTTTGCAGAAGGTTACTTCCACTTATCCTTTGCCTGGGTGAAGTGACCAAGGAGGGCCATTTATCACCTAAGATGGCGCCTGGTGTTGATGGTTGCCCGCTCATTTGTGGGTTCTCCTTACTAGGCTCCTTCTTCTGCCACATTGCACTCCTACAGACTTCGGTGACCTCATCCAAAGTTGGTGACTTCGCTTTTTTTGGCAAAGGTTTTGGGTTCAGCCTTGGCGGCAGTGGCTTCCCCTGAGCCTCTGTGCTCTCTGAGCATCTGCCCTTGACCTTTTCTCCGATTATTTCTCAGGCCTTTAGCCTGAGAAGGAGTTCTTCATCACTTCCTGTCCTCCATTCGGATGGGACCTGGAAAAAGTCCAGAAGTCTCTCAGACAATCGACTTCAGGGAGCTTCCCCATCCTCCTGCACCTGGTCCCTTTTCTGTGTCCACGCTGGGTCCGAGGCCATCTGAGGACAGTCCGGAAGTGAGCTCAACCTGTGAGTCTGTGTCGATCTGGATGACATGGCCTTTATATCCATGTTGGAGTGTGTACACTCGTTCTCAGACAGAGCGCTGAGTGTCTCACAGTGGTTGTGAGATGGTGTCGGTGGTGTGGAAGTTTTTTCCACATTTCCTCCACTCAGGACTGGCTCCCTGCACAAGCAGGGGTCGTCCCATGAGGGTTTTTGATGATTCCCAGTCTTATAGACTGGGGTTTGAACCGGCTCACGCCTAGGCGGCGAGCTGGATGTCTCACTATAGTTGCAAGACAGTAACGACGATGTGGAGGTTTTTTCCACATTTTTTGCAATCAAAGACGGCTCCCTGTGCAAGCAGGAGTTGTTGTTCGATTGTTTTGCACAATTCCCAGTCACATAGACTGGGGAGTGAACCAGCATGCTGCGATTTTGCGGGCTGGACGTCTCACAGTTAATGTGAGACGATGTAGACAATGTGGAAGTTTTTTCCACATTTTTTGCGACCACAAATGGCTCCCTGTGCTGGCAGGAGTTGTTGTTTGATCGATTTGCACAACTACCAGTCACATAGACTGGGGAGTGAACCAGCGTGCTGCTATATCGCAAGCTGGGCGTTTCGTGGCTGACGCGAGACGATTCCGTAGATGTGGACGATTTTTCCACATTTTTTGGAACTCCAAACAGCTCCCTGCACCAGCAGGAATGGTCATTTGGTTGTTCATGACAACTCCCAGTCGCATAGACTGGGGAGTGAACCAGATTGCTGCTATATTGCAATATGGACGTCTTGCGTTTAATGCGAGATGATGCTGGACATGTGAAAGATTTTTCCACATTTTTTGGGATCAAAAACAGCTCCCTGTGCCAGTGGGAGTGATTGTTTGATGGTTTTGTGTAACTCCCAGTCAAATAGACCTTGGGAGTGAACCGGCTTGCTGCAATCTTGCAAGCTGGATGTCATGTGGGTGACTTGAGACGATGTGGACAATTTTTCCACATTGCTTGGGGCCACAAACGGCCCCCTGCGCCAGCAGGAGTTACTGCTGTTTTTGTCAGTGTTTTGCACCAAGTGAGAGGTTCCCTGAGGATAGTGGGGCTCAGGGACTTCTTTTGGCATGTCTGACCCAGCCCTTAAGGCTGTGAGTGTGGCAGCCGCATGCTTATGTGTGCACATGTTTGCCTCCTCACCCAGTGGTGAGAACTCTCTCTTTCTAGGAGAGATTATGTTAGCACATGGGGTTCTAAGGGTGTTGTTCCCTGCATTTACTCCATGTAAGTTTTTGGGATCCTCAGGGTTTGTCCCTGAGGTCCTACCAATATGTGGCAGGTCTTTGTCATCATCCGATGATGCAGTGTTTAGGTTATCTCCCAAATTGGGAGATTGCAGCTTTTTAACAAAGCCACCCTTTGTTCTTGCTGCAGATGCGAGCTTCCCCATTTGGGGGTATGACAGTGCCATGTCAGGTGCCATCCCTGGAACAGATGCAAAAAGGATGTGTAGATTAGTTTTAATCACACCTCATGCACTTAAAAAAGTGTGAGGTCTGTGGGGCTTGCTCAGGTCACCAGGCCGTAAGTGTCACAAAGGTGTGGGTATTACGGGGTGATAAGCAATAGGTTCCAACCTGTTGCCTGTCATGTGACACTAATCTACAATGGGACTACATGTAATGGGGGCCCAGGGCTTGTGCCCTGACAATGGGAGTGGGGAATGGCCAGCTGACTGAATAGAAAGGAAGCAGCAGCCCAAATAGGAATGAGGGAGAGTAGCGGAACTGAATGGAGCAATGCAATAGTTGCAAGGTCCGACATAAGTCCAGAAAGTCTGGACTCGGAAGTTAAACTCCAGAATATTGGCAAAGGTAATTAAATGGAATGAGCTAACCAATACAATGGGTATAAGCGGAGGTGGGGTCAAAGTCCGAGGTCGGAGCTAAGACCGGAGGTTCCGGAGATGGAGATGCGAACAGGATTCCGGAGCAGAGGTCTGGAGTTGGGGGCATAGGTGTTGCGTACTCGTCTGGAAAGGTGTCGAGGTTGGAGTCGGACCCGGAATGTTCCAGAGTTGGACCGAAGGTGGTGTCAGAGCTGGAGGTGGGATAACCTCTTGGGAGTCGGCAAGGAGAAGGTGACAGAAGGGAAGTAGGGCTCCAGAGTCAGTTTCAGAGTTCCAGGAGGCCAGAGCGGAGGTCAGGATTGTATGGATATGACAGCTACTGTGAGTAAGAAAGTGAGAAGATGGTTAACTTCTCACTTTCCCACAGTGGCCACAATATGGTGAAACTTCCAGAGATATCCAGAAGTCACATGAGGAATGGGAACCAGGGCCCAGAGCATGTGGCGTGCAGAGTGTGTGGGGTGGAGCACACATGCAGGTCCAAATGCAGGTCTGGGTCCAGGCTAGTCAGGGTGTGTTCCCTGACAGTTGTCTGAATGCAATATCAATCTGATAGTTAGATATTGTGTTCTGGCCAAGTCACGGACATTATATACATATTTGGGTGGCCAGCCAAGATAAAAGGGTACAAAGTGGCATGCAACATGAGGTTAGAGAGATAATAGGATCCATCCCACCACCAGTGCAGGTAGTTGTAATATGTGTGACTCAGTGCACCATGTCAGCAATAAGGTGCCTAGTGGCCCATCCTTGTTGCTGTGATGTTGCATTGCTACATCAACATTGTGCTCTAGTATTGGGGCTACAGGGAGCTGATTCTCTCCCCTGGAGTTCATCATGAACTGCATACAGGTTCCTGTCAGGGCACGGCCTAACCGGCTACCCTGACTCCCTATGCCGGAAGGGAGTTGCTGTAAGACGATCCGGAGAGATCCAAAGAACGCAGGTAATCTCACTTAGCTCTCACTTAGCTCCCGCTTCCTATCTTCCACCCACATGTCACCCCTTTCCCACACCTCACTTACGATTATCCAAATGAATACTTATCTTTTCATGTTGTCATTCTATTGGCTATCTCTTATCTCATTGTAGCCGCGCTCTAGTGGGTAGCGGTACCCGTGTATATAACTTCTATCTTTGCTGAGGGTGGCACCTCAGCGTTAACAACGACTAGGATTCTTGGGAACACCTTTATCATTGTGAACTGACATGCAGTCCCTGACAGTTCCTATCACTTTGCCGAGTCTTGTCCCTGTCCAGCGAAACTGATGTAATCTAACTTGCAGCACTGCTTACTAACCACACACCATGGCATTCTGCTACAGCAACTGCCTTCACCCTCCATCGCTCAACTAACATCGCATCTCATTCACACTGTTGTTGCTGACTCCCCTACTCAGGGTGATCAAAAGCTGCTGCCTTCTCATGACTTGCACAGGAACCAGTGGACCACTGCACTGAACGATACCTTTGCATCATTCTTGCAGCATGTGGTGGGTTTAGGTTGGCATGGTTTTGCATTTGGCTGAGCATCGCAAATCCATGATGACTTGGTCACCCATCCTCATCTCTGCCTCTGTCAAACCTTTCAATGGATAAATGATGGTTCACACTTTGTTCTCCAACCATTTTCACCAACACTTGGGCAATTGAAGATCTACAGCTACTCCAATGGCCTAATAATATTCCCATCAAACTTGGTCCAAGGCTCCCAGAATGTCACCTCAGACTCAACAAAAAAACACCGGGCTCCATATCGTACTACCCCCTGTGCTTCTATGGCACCAGAGGCATTGGAGACAATGGAGAAGTTGCCTCCCAATTACCCATCCTAGAAATTGAGTATCCTACTTGGGTAATGCCAACAAACCGGTGAAGACATGCAGAAAATAATAGAATCTGCGAGTTCATTCATGCTGTACATGTCCTGGTCACCCTAATGGATTTACTCTGCTGTATCGACCAGGAGTTTTCTCAATACTGCCCGCTTTTCAAAGCTCCCTTGCAGTTGATGACGCTCACACCCCTCAGCTTTTCCCACTTCCTTCTTCTGTCTGCCTGAAATACTCCATACAATGCCCACTCTGCTTTGGCTGGGATTCTTTGAGCCCCACTATTTCAGAACCCTGCCAAGCAGAAGCATGCCCAGAGCCTTTGTGTTGTGTCTCAAGAACCACAATTTCCACTGGGCATCCCACTCCTAATGCAATCCCCCTTCACCTTTTTGACAGTGTGTCACAACCTGGCATTCCCTGGAGTCAGATGACCTCCTCCCCAACCTTTTCCCATGCCCAAACACTCCCCACACACTCCACTCACTGCCTGTCACCGTCTAACCACTCCCCACAACTTCTCAACATCCCCTCCTCTGATTGTCATTGAACAACTCAGCAGTGCAGAGTGCCATGACCTCTTGTTCCTTGTTTTTCCATACCTTGTTATCTTGTGGTGAAGGTCACAGTTGACCTTCACTGTCTTAACCACGTGCTTCTTTGTTTGTTTTCCTCTTTCTTTTCTCCACCTGCAATCTCCACGAGATCTGGCGACTTACTTTCTATTCAGTTCTCTAGCACTTATATACAGCTTGTAACTATTGCTTGTACAGTAGTTCGAAATCAACTAGAATTCCCCCCTTAGCTTACCTCTGTCCCCCATAAGACCCCTGCCATCTGAAGTATCGGGACCACATCAAGAACAAGGCGCAACGCTCCTTCCTGAGTTGTTGAAGCCGAAATCCCAGCCCACTTGCCTAAGTAACCTTGGCCCCAAGATCAGTGAG